CTAGAACAATCTCTTTATTAATGGTAGAGATGAGGCCAGGTAATGAATGCACAATTCATGGAACACTTGGTTCATATTCTTTAAAACTACTTGTCATTTATATATGAATTTGAGCCAAGTGCTATGGTTTCTCTCTGCTCACTTTATTTGTCAATATCCAAACATTTCATTTGTTCATTACTTTGGTACAAAGAACCTTGGAGAACATATGAATACTCGGTTCGATTAGATTCTAAAATCGGTTCAGTTATGAATATTCGGTTCGGTTCGGTCATTAATCTTTCAATTTTGTGTTTAAGAGATTATAACATTTTTATTTTTTTTTAAAATATTAACCATTTTATTCGACAAAAAATCAACTTCAGGGTTCATACTTCTAATATTTTTTTTTATATATACATAAAAAAATTCAGATTGACTTATTAATCAAATTTTCAAAACAAAAAATAATGCTCAAAATTCGAATCACTCCATAGACAAGATCGATAAAATAATGCTCAAAATTCGAATCACTCCATAGACAAGATCGATAAACAATATAAACTACATATAATTGAAAAGAAACTTAATCTACCTTTACAAGTCTAACCTAAAAGCTTAAAAATGAAAACAATTTCTTAAATCATTTCAATATTTGTAACTTTTATATTTTATGATTATAATTAATTGAGATTTAAATATAACATTATAAATAAAAGTCTTAGAAATACAAAACAGGTAACTCTATATTATTATCCATTCAGAATTTGTATTTTCTTGGATGGTAATGTCGGGCATTTTTTTTCTTACATATTCAGTTCTAAGAAAGTGTTTGAAGACCCAAGTGTTAGACGAACACGACTCTCCACAATGGTATGATATTGTCCACTTTGAGCATAAGCTCTCATGGCTTTGCCATGGGCTTCCCCAAAAGGCCTCATTCCAATGGAGTTAGTATTCCTCACTTATAAACCCATGATCACACCCTAAATTAGTCGATGTGGGACTTCCATCATCCAACACCTCCCCTCGAACAAAGTGCGCCTCCCCTTAATCGAGGCTCGACTCCTTTGGAGTCTTCCTTAGTCATTTTTGACTGCCTTCGAGGAGGGGCTTAGCTCCTTTTCTTTAAGAGTTCTTTGTTCGATATTTGAGGATTTACCAATCTATTGGCACGACTAGGTTTAGGGCATGATTCTGATACCATGTTAGACGAACACGACTCTCCACAATGGTATGATATTGTCCACTTTGAGCATAAGCTCTCGTGGCTTTGCTTTGGGCTTCCCCAAAAGGCCTCATTCCAATGGAGTTAGTATTCTTCACTTATAAACCCATGATCACACCCTAAATTAGTCGATGTGAGACTTCCATCATCCAACACCAAGAACTGTTGCAGCTTCACTTTGTCTTCTCTTCTGAGTTAATAACACCGATAATTTAACAACGTTGTTCCGACCCAAATCCAACGGTGGCGATCTTATTTCGGTTGGCGGCCAAATCCGATGTACTGCAAACTTCTGCCATTTTTTGCCTCATTGGTCCTCTCATTTAGTGAAGTTGAAGCTTGGTTTTAAGAGCATGGTGTCACGGTCATGCTTGTCCAGGGCATGTTGCCCATGGCCGCATGCCCATGACAAGCCAAACCCTTGTCATGTCTTTTCATTCTAGTGTTTTTTCTTTTGTAATTCTAGAGCGTATGACACCTCAAAAATATCATGTCTAGGCCTGCCAGAACTAAAATGGCCCAGAATGTACTATAGGGGATATGACTAGTCGTCAACTTCTCCCTACCCAAGGTTATATATGCTAGCCGTTGTTATCTTTCTCTTTCTAAAATCTCTCTTTCTAAAATCTCTCTCTCTCCTCGTTTTCTAAAACCTTCTTTTAAAACCGAGGCTAGAGGCTCGACCGTACGTCGCTTGGCCGTAGGCGACGCAAGAACAAGTTGGCTTAACTCACTTGTCGCTGGAAAGTGAGTGCCGCACAATCGCTAGTCCGCTGCCTTCGAAAGCGCGATTGTGTCACATGGCACCCCACCAGATGTGGGTTTTAACAAATTGCTTTAAATGGGTATGCCTCTACATATGAATTCAATGCCTTTTCTCTTTTTTTTTTGGGGATTTTGTACAGCACCACTTCGACATTCCTCTGTATCCTCTGCAAACGTAGTTATTTTATTTGTCATATGCCTACTAGCTTCTGCTTTTGTTAGACTACAAACCACATCGGATACCTTCTAGCCTTTTGTAATGTCCCATGGCCCCAACATTCTAAAGAGGGAAGACTATCCCACAAACTAACGAGAACATTTCCAGCATATTTTGTCCTCATTCACGTGTATATTAAAAAGATTCCAAACTCGTCATCCAATATAGAATTAATCCAACTAAAAGACACTTAATCACTATGTTCCTAAAATTTAGCCACGAAAAAGAACCGTACACCATATTGATTATTGATTATAGGTGGTGAATTTCAATTTATATATATCAGTCTAAAATATAAAAATCTAGCGTACAGTTGGAAAAGAAAAAAAAAAAAAAGGTTTTATTTAACTAAAAAAATGGGGCATATCCAGTTCCATTTAGCTGAAATGGGGTCAATTAGATTCTTTAATATGGGCCGTACCCGTGAATTTTAGGCTGGGTTTAACTCAAAACTGGGCCGTATCCAGCTTCATGACCCATTAGCAACTTTGATAAGGGCCGTGCGCATACATTATGGGCTACTCTTAAACTCACACTGGGCCGTATCCATCCTTAAGTAGCTAAAATTTGGGCCAATTTGGGCCGCCATAGGCTTCAACTGTGGGCCGACGTGGGCTGGGCTTCCACTGTGGGCCAACTTGGCTTCCACGGAGGGGTCGATTTGGGCTTCCACTGTGGGACGACTTGGGCTTCCACAGTAGGCCGCCGGGCTTCCATTATTGGGCCGACATGGGCTTCCACTGTGGGCCGACATGGGCTTCCACGGAGGGGTCGATTTGGGCTTCCACGGTGGGCCGACTTGGGCTTCCACTGTGGGCCGACCGGGCTTCCATTATGGGACCACATGGGCTTCCAAAGTGGGCCGACTTGGGCTTCCAAAGTGGGCCGACCGGGGCTTCCAAAATGGCAGATTTGGGCTTCACATTGGGCCGACAAGGATTTCCTCTGTGGGCCGACATGGGCTTCCACTGTGGGCCGACTTGGGCTTCCATAGTGGGTCGACGTTGGCTTCCACTATTGGCTGACATGGGCTTCCACAGTGGGCCGACATGGGCGTCCACTGTGGGCCGACATGGGCTTCCACTGTGGGCCGACTTGGGCTTTGAACTCTCGGACGACTTGGGCTTCAACTCTGGGCCGAGTTGGCTTCAACTATAGGCCGACTTGGGCTTCAACTATGGGCGGATTTGGGCTTCCACCATGGGCCTCTTTGGGCTTCAAATATGGTCCAATTTGGGCTTTGTTTATGGTCTTCGACTATGGGCCGATTTGGGATTGGGCTTCCACTTTGGGCTGATTTGGGCTTGTGCTTCCATTATGGGCCGATTTTGGCTTGGGCTTCCAGTGTGGCCCGATTTGACTTGGGCTTCACTAGTGGGCCGACTTGGGCTTCCTTCACGGGCCGATTTGGGCTTCACTCGTGAACTTATATGGGCTTCAACTATGGGCCTATTTGGTCTTCCATTATGAGCCAATTGGGCTTCATCTATGGGCCAATTTGGGCTTTCATATGTTCCATTTTGGGCTTCCACCATGGGCCGATTTGAGCTTCTTTTATGGCCCTATTATGCCTTCAACTATGCATGATTGGCTAGGCTTTAACTCCATTCTGGGCCGTATCAGCTTCATGTAGCTGAAATTCTGCCTTTTCAGCTGCTTTGATGTGAGCCGTGGCCGTGAATTCTTGGCTGGGTTTTAACTCAAATTTGGGCTTTAATTATGATTTACTGGCTGAGCCTTTATTAAATATTGGGCCGTACTCTAATAGTGAAGCTGAAATTCCGGCCCATATCTACTTTTTAATATGGGCCGTGAGTTCATTATGGGCTGGGCATTAACTTTCTTGAAGTGACAAACAACGGAATTCATTTAATTTCCAACCATTATAATTATATATGCTTCATTCTAATTTCATTAAAATAAATTTTTAAAAAAATAAATTTAATTATGTTATAAATAATACCTAAAAAATTCTTACATCTAAACAAAAAAAAAAAAAAAAAAAAATCTTTAATCTCGTCCTTGGTATGATCGGAGGCATTCATAGGGTAGATTTTATTAAATCGAGTGTCGTGATAGTCTAGAGTATACCTAAAACGGAGACATTTCATTTCATTTTTAAAAAAATTATATACATTCACTCAGCTAAGGAAGGGTATATTAGTGGGAGGGGCATTTAGGGGGACATATATTTGTACAAAATTAATTTATTTCATTCCCTTCATGTTCTCCAAAATTTTCTCCCTATATTAAATATATAATTAATATTTTCAATAACTTAAAACCCCCCATCATTTCCTCTTTTATTTGCCCTACTTTAATTTTGTCTCAGTAATTTCCTCAAATTTCATACTGATAGAAGGAAAACCCAAGATTACCCCTGCCAGTTCGCTGCAAAAAGTAAATCCATATAAGGACAAAACAGTCAATTCACCATAATTTGGCGCCAAATTCGTCTCCCATTCATAGCGGGAAGAAAAAAATGGTCATTTTAATAAAGCAAAATTAGGACAAATAATAGTAAAATTAAATAAAAATAATTAATGGGTTATGATTATAACCAGCCCACTAATCCCTCTCCCTTAACTCTTAATTTTTTGTTGGCCAAAAAAGAGGAAGCTCAGGAGTTACACTAACTATCAATCTCAGCCGTTGGATCATCCACAAGATCAACGGCTGTAAAGCTGCATGCTCATGACAAAAACCCCTTCACTCTCTTCTCCATGTTCTCGCCATCTTCATTCCTTTCTCTCTCTCTCTCTCTCCATAAACATATTTCAGGCGAAACACAAAATCAGAGGACAGAGAAACATGCAGAGCAACGCGCCGCCGTCGGGTCCGCCACTAGCCGCCATAGATCGATTTCTGTACAGCCACAACGTGAACGGAAATTGCTTTGAGAATGGGCTGATGGGAGGAGGGTTGTCGCCGGAAAGTTGCGGCGGCGAGTGGTTTGAAATGGACGGGAGGCTGCGCGTGGAGGAAGCATTACGATTACAAATAGAATTAGAATTAGAAGAATTAGAAGAATTAGAAGAATTAGAAGAAGAAGATTCAGAAATGTACGGATGGGGAAGAAGAAACGAAGGAAAGGCGATGATTACACCAAATCATGAACGGAAAATTTGTTCCAAACTCAAGAAATTAAAGAAGCCTTCTTCTGCAATTCTCATTAAAGGACAGTGGACCGAAGAAGAAGACAGGTGATCTTCCTTACCATTTCTTTCTAATATTACCTACATATTAATAATAATAAAAATATTATATATGTATATATATATATATATATAGTAATTTATCTTCGATCATATTAGTATTTTCATTCAAATTTCAATAATATTATCCAAATTTTAATGTTTTTATTTATTTTTATTTTTATAGTTTATATGGTATTTTCAAATAGATTGGACTTTTTTTATTAATATATATATATAAATTATCAGAGGAAATAATAATAGTTTTTTTTTTTTTTTTTTTTTTTTTT